GTTTATTTTGCACAATGGGCAAACAGCAGCACCAACTGTGCACGACAGCCACCAAAAAAAAAAAAGGGTGTATGTCACTTTAAATTTTCGATTCTTTGATAGCTGTGGCCCTAAGTAACGATTCTGTGTCCCTGAGTAACGATTCTGTGTCCCTGAGTAACGATTCTGTGTCCCTGAGTAACGATTCTGTGTCCCTGAGTAACGATTCTGTGGCCCTAAAGTCTCTGTGGCCCTAACTCTGTCCCTTAATACACACAGGTCTGTCTCTCTTGAATGACCGGAGGCTAATGGAGAATTCTAAGATGGCCGCGATTTATAGCTCCACCATTACACAGTGCTGGCTGGCTGCTGATTGGCTAATGCGATCACATGTCATGAATGCATTATGGGTCAGCGCGCCTTGTCTGCGCGCCTTCCCAGAGATCCCCGCCCCATCTTCTCTGTCCATTTTCTCCGTCGCCACACATGTCGCCGCCATTTTTGGGAAAATTCGATTCGTGCATCCGAAGTTTGCTAATCTTCGGATTCGTCGCGAATAGAATTTTTCCAAATCTTCGGAACGAATTCCACTTCGTCATGTTCGATTCGCTCATCTCTAGTCATTAACATCCCCAGTGACTTTTTTTTTTTTTTAATTTTATATATTTTTTATTTTATTATTTATGTTTTTTTTTTTTTTTTATACATATGTATAGTGACACTGTACTACTTGTGGGGGGTTATGAAGATTTTTTTTTTTTACACTGATTGCTTTTACACCCATAAAGGCTATAAAAGCAATAATTTATTTTATATATATATATATATATATATATATTTATTTATTGAAATATATTTTGAAATATATTAAATATGGCCAAAATTGTAATATTTCAAATATATGGCAATATATTTGGGAAGAATATTTTTAAAATATATTTCAAATATATTTTTCTTCCATATGGGGACTTATGATTAGAAAACGGAATGAACGAATTCTGCTAGTGTATGGCCAGTTTTACTCAGGGTAGTGCCTGGCTATGGCTGTCTAGGTACCTGGGATGAACATTGTAAATAGCAACAAAGTCATTGTGTTCACCTGTCCCGGCTCATGCACACCTCCATAGATAACACACGGCTAGGGACAAAGTCTGTGTGTACATGTGGAGCTTAGTAACCAGACTTGGCTGCCAAGAGTGTCATGTCGACTTACTTGGCTGTGAATGGGCCGGGACCATCCAGACAAAGCAGTACACGTCTACAGATGCTGACTGCGGCAATGCCAACCACAGCTTCTGCAATTAGGGCTGAATGAGGTTAAAGGGGAGAATGACGCTGCTACTCCATGTCTGGTACAAAAAACAACAACTCCGAGCTCGGGATCCCCCTGCTTACTTCCCCTTCTTATTGGAGCAGCCCCGACCCTTGAAAAAAATCTTTATACATATCTTTTTTAGCTGTCTTAGAAGAGAAGTTTGGGAATATAAAAAAGACCTCTAAGACTGAGAACTGAGTGATCAAACACCGCTGATTGCTCAGTTCCCGGTTATCAGTGAGCAGAGAGCTGGTAACTGTCAGTCTCTGGCTCTTTGCTCTGCCCCTCCAGGGCTCACTGTCTATGAAGTGAAGGGTCTGGAGGAGGACCAGAGGAGGGCTACAGGAGTCTGCTGATTTCTGAGACCAGAGGAGATGGATACAAGAGGGTGCTGCAGCCTCACAGAGTGGTGCAGGATCTGTAGGAGGAGTTCTGTTCTCCTCTATGCTGCTGCCTGCTGAGACTGGTAGTGGGGGGTTGCAGAGATGAGCCTCTCTGCAGTTGCATGGAGAAACGCAGAATCTGGCAGAGGAGTTCTGTCCTCCTCTCTTCTGCTGACTGCTGAAACAAGGTGGAGACAAGGGGGGTGCCACAGCTGCAGGAGCGGTCTGAGGGCCACAGACCACTGGGGGGCCAGATTCAGCCCTCGGACCTTGTGTTTGACCTGTGTCATAGAGAGTTAGTAACCTGAAGCAAGGACAAAGGTCTCAGTATTCTGCTCCCACTAGCTGCTTACGTTTTCTGGGGCATTTATTCCGTAAGTAACAAAGCCACAGATTAGGCAGGACAGCCAAGGAACTAGCAACATACACGGCTCAAAAACATGAAAGGAAGACATTGAAAACACATCAGATCTCAATGGGGAAATGGATCTCTATACTGACATGGACTGGGTAATGTGTCAGGAACGTAAGGACGCCCCATCTTTTGACGGAAATGAAAATGACACCACGAAAATCAAAGTGAAAAAATGATGCAGCAGGCGAGTCCATTCTGCTGAAATGTCATTGCAGCAACTCAGAATGGTCCTCAGTAGTTTGTATGGCCCCCATGTGCTTGTATGCATGCCTGACAACATCGGGGGAGGCTCCTAATGAAATGACGGCTGTTGTCCTGGGGGATTTCCTCCCAGCTCTGGACCAGGGCATTACTGAGCTCCTGGACAGTCTGAGGTGTCGGATGGACCGAAACATGACATCCCAGAGGTGTTCTATTGGATTTAGGTCAGGTGAACGTGGGGGCCATTCAATGGTATCAATTCCTTCATCCTCCAGGAACTGCCTGCATACTCTCCCCACATGAGGCCGGGCATTGTCGTGCACCAGGAAGAACCCAGCACCCACTGCACCAGGAGGAGTCCAGGACCCACTGCACCAGGAGGAACCCAGGACCCACTGCACCAGGAGGAACCCAGGACCCCCTGCACCAGTGTAGGGTCTGACAATGGGTCCAAGGATTTCATCCCAATACCTAATGGCAGTGAGGGTGCCATTGTCTAGCCTGTAGAGGTCTGTGCGTCCCTCCATGGATATGCCTTCTCAGACCATCACTGACCCACCACCAAAACGGTCATGTTGCACCATGTTACAGGCAGCATAACATTCTCCACGGCTTCTCCAGACCCTTTCACGTCTGTCACATGTGCTCAGGGTGAACCTGCTCTCATCTGTGAAAAGCACAGGGCGCCAGTGGTGGACCTGCCAATTCTGGGGTTCAATGTCAAATGCCAACCGAGCTCTATGGTGCCGGGCAGTGAGCATAGGGCCGACTAGAGGACGTCGGGCCCTCAGGCCACCCTCATGAAGTCTGTTTCTGATTGTTTGGTCAGAGACATTCACACCAGTGGTCTGCTGGAGGTCATTTTGTAGGGCTGTGGCAGTGCTCATCCTGTTCCTCCTTGCACAAAGGAGCAGATACCGGTCCTGCTGATGGGTTAAGGACTTTCTACAGCCCTGTCCAGATCTCCTAGAGTAACTGACTGTCTCCTGGAATCTCCTCCATGCTCTTGAGACTGTGCTGGGAGCCACAGCACACCTTCTGGCAATGGCATGTATTGATTTGCCATTCTCGAGAAGTTGGACTGCCTGTGCAACCTCTGTAGGGTCCAGGTATGGCCTCATGCTACCAGTAGTGACACTGACCCTAGCCAAATGCAAAACTAGTGAAAAACAGTCAGAAAAGATGAGTAGGGAAAACATGTCAGTGGCCTCCACCTGTAAAACCCTTCCTGTTTTGGGGGTTGTCTCATTGTTGCCCATCTAGTGCAGCTGTTGTTAATGTCATTAACACCAAAGCAGCTGAAACTTATTAACAGCCCCCTGTGCTACTTACCTGACCAGATCAATATCCTGGAGTTTCAGCGGCTTGATGCCAGACTCGGATTAAAAAGTCTTCCTTTAATTTTTTTGAGAGCTGTATAAAATTCTGCAATACAAGCACCTCACCATTTTTTTTAACAGCTGAACTCCAGGATAAGCAAATATTGTCTGAATACAAGAGTCACGTGTATCCTCTTTGAATCTTGATGTGCTTTGTGTATTTCTTTCAGACTTGTGCAGTAATCCAGTGTGAGACTTCCTGTAAAAAAGACCGTCAACTGCCGCCTTCTCTCCTTGTGCTGGGTGACTGGTCATGTCTCCATCCCCCCTGTAGTTTCCTGCAGGCAGCCTGTAGAGGGTGGAGACTGCTGAGCCCCTCCCACAGCTCTGCTCTCTGCACAGGTTCTGTACAGCACAGTGCTGATGTCACTGCTACTTTTACTAGGTAACATCTGGGTTTGCAAAGGCATTTGAGGCACAAAAAAATCAAGCAAGCTGAGCTCAATTGAAGTTATTTACCAGTGCATCAGATGTCACTCACCTATCTCCAGGTCCAGCCGTTTCAGCTCTTCCTCGATACTCTGAACTCGATTCTGCAGCCCCTCGTGTCTGCTGCTGAGGGTCCCCAAACCGTTCAGAACCTTCTTCACGTTCCTCTGCTTTGTGTCATTGCTGAGAGCCCAGTCTGAACTCTGTTGTGAGCAGAAACGGTTGTCACATGAGATAGACACACGAGGAACATGCTGGAGGTCATCATCTGAGTGCTTCTACCAGCAAGAAGTGTAATTCTGGGTTTGATCATTATATACGGTATATACCCAACACCTCCACAGTACATACCCTCATATACTCTACACTCACTTTGTCAGTCAGTGCATCATGTAGCGATGGCCAGGTCACCAGCTCTGCCGCGTCGGGGTAAGAGTGCAATCTCTTCTGCAGACCCTCCTACAAGCAATGGTAGACATGATAAAGTGGACCTGTCACAAAAAGTCATACTTTACAAGGATCAGTCAGGCCCATGTCAGTATTACTGGAACTGGGATTTGGGCATTTTATGGTTTTGGTAAATTCACCTCCGCAACATCTCCAACCTCCTCAACATCTCCAACCTCCGCAACATCTCCAACCTCCGCAACATCTCCAACCTCCGCAACATCTCCAACCTACTCAACATCTCCAACCTCCGCAACATCTCCAACCTCCTCAACATCTCCAACCTCCGCAACATCTCCAACCTCCTCAACATCTCCAACCTCCGCAACATCTCCAACCTCAGCAACATCTCCAACCTCTGCAACATCTCCAACCTCCGCAACATCTCCAACCTCCCCAACATCTCCAAGATACACCCATTCCTAACCTCAGAAACCACTAAGCAACTTATTCCCTCCCTGGTTATATCTCGCCTTGACTATTGTAACTCCCTCCTCATTGGCCGACCTCACCGCAGGCTATCCCCTCTTCAGTCTATCATGAATGCTGCTGCCAGACTCATCCACCTTACTAACCGTTCTGTATCTGCCACCCCTCTCTGCCAATCCCTCCACTGACCTCCACTCAGTATCCTCCACCCCTCGTATCTGCCACCCCTCTCTGACAATCCCTCCACTGGCATCCACTCAGTGTCCTTCATCCCTCTCTGGCCTCCACTCAGTACCTCCATCCCTCTCTGCCAATCCCTCCACTGACCTCCAATCAGTGTCCTCCATCCCTCTCTGCCAATCCCTCCACTGTCCTCCCATTCAGTGTCCTCCACCCCTCTCTACCAATCCCTCCACTGGCCTCCACTCAGTGTCCTCCACCCCTCTCTGCCAATCCCTCCACTGGCCTTCACTCAGTGTCCTCCATCCCTCTCTGCCAATCCCTCCACTGGCCTTCACTCAGTGTCCTCCATCCCTCTCTGCCAATCCCTCCACTGGCCTCCACTCAGTGTCCTCCATCCCTCTCTGCCAATCCCTCCACTGGCCTTCACTCAGTGTCCTCCATCCCTCTCTGCCAATTTCTCCACTGGCCCCCATTCAGTGTCCTCCACCCCTCTCTGCCAATCCCTCCACTGACCTCCACTCACTGTCCTCCACCCCTCTCTGCCAATCCTTCCACTGACCTCCACTCAGTGTCCTCCATCCCTCTCTGCCAATCCCTCCACTGGCTTCCCATTCAGTGTCCTCCACCCCTCTCTGCCAATCCCTCCACTGGCCTCCACTCAGTGTCCTCCACCCCTCTCTGCCAATCCCTCCACTGACCTCCAATCAGTGTCCTCCACACCTCTCTGCCAATCCCTCTACTGGCCTCCACTCAGTGTCCTCCATCCCTCTCTTCCAATCCCTCCACTGGCCTCCCATTGCCCAATGGATAAAATTCAAAACATTAACAATAACATATAAAGCCATTTATAACTCCGCCCCAAATTACATCACCAATCTTGTCTCCAAATATCACCCAAACCGTCCTCTCCGCTCCCCGTACGACCTCCTGCTCTCTAGCTCTCCAGGACTTCTCCAGAGCTTCCCCCATCCTCTGGAACTCTCTACCCCAGTTTATCAGACTATCGCCTACTCTGCTCACTTTTAGGTGATCTCTGAAACTCTCTCTCTTCAGGGAATCCAATCCTGCCTTCAGCTAGCAATGGCATTTATCTATCTGTCCTACCAGTCCATCCCCCACAGTTATTACCTTTCGTACCACTAGCCCCTCCCTCTTAGATTGTAAGCTCCAAGGATCAGGGCCCTCCTAACCCTCTTGTATTGAACTGTATTGTTGCTGTATTGTCTCCCGTTATATTGTAAAGAGCTGAGCAAACTGTTGGCACCATAAATCCTGTATAATAATAATAATAATAATAATAATCAGAGCAGAATAGGGTACTATAAGTGGATTAGAGGTTAACTTATTGTTAGGCTTAGCTATGGTGTGTTAAAGCTGAACTCCGGGTATGATGCGTATTGCATACTTACATCGGACCATCTTCCAGGGCCTGTGTCAAGTGGCTTCCCCTCTGCACACTGACCATAAGGGGTTGCCTTTTACAGAATTTTTTCAGTTAATACAAGGCTTCTCTGATTGGACAAGGTGGCATCTCTAGTCTCCACCTCGTCCATTCAGAGAATACCTTGTAATTAAAATAAATAAATATGTATATGTATATGTATGAGGCACGAGTGACCCCCTGTTGTCAGTGTGCAGAATGGAAGCTGCTCAGCACAGGATCTAGAGAATCACAAAGAACACTGTAGTAGCGCAACTACTGCAGTGATTGTCAGCTTCCCCAGTGGCTCATCAGGCATAAGACAGGCATTCATTCTTACAGCGGCTGTTTTGGGCTTCTGGCATTTTTTTCTACAGCCAGTAAACCCCCCAGCATGTCAATGCACACATAGACTGTAATCAGCGTTTTTCTGGCAGGACATTTTCTGGCTTGAAAAACCCCAGGACTGGTGGGTTTAGAGAGGGGTTATTTTAGCTGTAAAACTGTGGCAAACCAGTGTTTTTGAGCATATTTTTTCTATGCAAAATTTTTTTTGTGCCAAAAAACGCCAAAGAGGCAAAGTACAGCTAAACGCTCATGCCATAAAACGCAGAAAAACTTTATACAGCTAATGCTACTGGCATTTTTAAAACGCCCAGTGTGCGTGAGGACCAATGTGAGTATTCAAAAAATATCATACCTGTAGTTCAGCTTTAAAGTGGCTGTAAGCTCTTACATACACCCAGTGAATTTATAAAGCTTGTCTGAGAGTTCAGAAAAAAGGGGGAAGAGAGCTGCAATTATACTCTGCAGAGTCTCGTAAAGAAAGCTCTGAGAGCTGATTGGAGGGAAGGGACACACCCACCTTCACACAGCTCACAGGAACAGGGCTGAGGGCTGGAGCCCCTCCCCTGTCACCATTTTTCTCTTGGTGTGTCAGGAAAACTGGTCAGAAGTAACTTGTAGCATAGCTGATAGCAGAAGAACAAATCAGCAGACAGAAATGACACTTCGTTCTCTATACCTAGATTGTAAGCTCCAAGGATCCTATCCCTCTTGTATTGAACTGTATTGTTGCTGTATTGTCTCCCGTTATATTGTAAAGCGCTGAGCAAACTGTTGGCGCCATATAAATCCTGTATAATAATAATATATGCTTTCTTCATTTTCATGTCTGAGGTTTACAACCACTTTAAAGAAGAAATCGGGAAAAAAATGTATTTTCCCATATAGTGAGGCTGTGCCTGCACTGCATGGGTAACATGCTTGTTTTTGTCTAGGGGCTCTGAAAGTGAAGGCATACTTAAATAATCCACTGAGCGAAAGAGAGTGGTCCCTGCTGCTCCTGCTCCCCCCCTTGCATGCTAGCGGTCTTGTGAATGGGCTGTTCCTGACGTCATCAAGCCCATAGACCGACTCTGGACGTGAGGACGTCAGAAAAAGTCCACCGCTGGACGTGGGGGAGCACGGTTTTCCAGAGGAACAGAGGACAAGGTAAGTACAGCTTATCCCTGAGCCGCTAGACAAAATGAGCATTTAACCCATTCAGTGTGGGAACAGACCCACTGCATGGGAAAATAAAAAGATTTCACTGGAGTTCTGCTCTACGTTTTAGAGGCCGGGAGGTTAAAGTGGAAGTGAAAGCAAACTACTAGTGTTGCTCAATAAGTTTTCTAAATAAGACATGCTTGTCAGACAGGATCTGACCCCCCTTTTTTCTACTAAATTCCAAACAATACAGTTTGGTCAAGGACCGCCCCAACCTTTGACTGGATAGTGATGAGGTCAAACCTTTGTTCTCTCTCTTCCTATTGGTCAGCCCCCTGTCTACTGTAAATGGAAGTATTACCTTTCTTTTCCAGGCTGTATCCTGTTGTGCAGGAAACTACAATAGCCAGATATAAAGTCAGACTAACATACTATGTGAGAAAAATGGAATTACATTTTGGAGTGAGTACAAAACTAAGTGGTGGAGGCCGGTCTTGGAAAGTCTTACCGTCTTTTCCATTAGCAGTGGAATGTTGTGCGTCTGCCCCTCCAGGTCTTGCAGTCTCTTCTCCACCTCCCGAACGTTTATCTGTAAGACAAATTCAGGCAATGAAAATCATTATCAGAACTTTGAAGAAACACATCTTTGGAACACAGACACAACTATAGTAATAGACAAGGGCTAGTGTGCAACTAAAACCTTCCCAGGTATACAAGCTGTAAAGATCAGCCTTCACCATCTGCTGGTTGATAAGCAGTACTGCATCTCATTTCTTTGCAATGCACCCCTGGCTTAATCAAGAAAGCTTCATCAGACTGCTGTGCATTCAACCACCACTCCAACATGGAAGAAAAATATATTTTAAATATATTTTAAAAATATTCTTCCCAAATATATTGACATATATTTGAAATACTACAATTTTGGTAGTATTCAATATATTTCAAAATATATATATATTTATATATATATATATATTTATATATATATAAAATTATACAGGATTTATATAGCGCCAACAGTTTGCTCAGCTCTATATATATACTGCACGTTGAAATGCATTTTTTATATATTACAAAATATATTAAAAATCTTTTTTTAAATATATATTTTTTTTAAATATATATCTTCAGATTTTTTTTTACATATAAAAAAGTAATTTTAACATATATTTGTAAATGCATTCCAAAAATGTAGATTAAATGTATTTTTAAAGACATACAGTATATTTGAAAATTTTACCTCGTATTAAACATTTTGTATGGTAATTCACTAGGCCGGTGCACCCTCTGTTTGTTCTTTCCCCATTCAGTATATTTGGATATCCCCGGTCTTTTGAGGGCAGCAAGGTGTGCATATTGTGGCAGCACAGTGGCTAAATGGTTAGCACTTCCGCCTGGCAGTACTCGGGTCGTTGGTACAAACCTAAACCACGGCATCACCTGCCTGGAGTTTGCATGTTCTCCCTGTGCCTGCGTGGGTTTCTTCCAGGTACCCTGGTTTCCTCCCACACTCCAAAGACATGCTGGTAGGTGAATGGTTCCTGTCTAAATTGTCCCTAGTATGTGTATGTATGAATGTGAGTTAGGGACCTTAGATTGTACACCCCTTGAGGGTTAGGGACTGATGGGAATGTACAATATATATGTAAAGTGCTGTGTAAATTGATGGCGCTATATAAGTACCTGAAATAAATACATATTGCAGAACAATCATGATGTGGTCCTAGCCTAGCCCCAAGAGCAGGAGCATTTGTGTTCGATGGTTCTTTATTTATCCCAAATGACTAAAAGAAGAACTTTCCCATTGCTTCCAGTAAGAGTCTTATTTTCCCATGCAGTACTGGAAAAATGAAAGGAAACCTCTTATTGGCTACTAAGGACAGCACATCTTCCTTTCTTCCTTTCCAATGATGCTCAGTGACTGTATTGCTACCCAGAACCTACCTTAGTAACCAGGTCATTGAGGGAGGCCAATCTTTCTTGCATCACGTTGTTGGCTTGCTGGAGACCGTTGAAGGTGCTGAGAAGTTCCTGGAAGGCACTCATGGCCTAGGGAGATAAAAAGGATACAGAAGTTCATAATCAGACGATTAGGAGCTGTTCCATACCTCTGTAAAAAGACCCTTCAGAACACTTCCATATTTCTTTCAAAGTCATTATAGCCTGGATTTAAAGAGAACCTGTCATACAAAATAGAGCACATAAACACCATAGTTATTTAAGTGGACCTTATGTAAAAATGGGCCCTCAGAGCTCTAGCCCTAATTGCACACTATGGCAGACTTACCTCCAACAGTGCCCTCCTCCAGTGATGTGATATTGATCCATCACCGCCATTGACATCTAAATATGCGCGGTTAGTTTTGTTCTGAATCAAAATTCTGACACATTTTTTGTTATTT